CTCATTTAAGGATTTGCTAGGTACTAACACTTTGTACTTTTAAAATTAATAGTCACTGTTAAATCTCTTGTGGCCACCACCATTGCTTCCTCCATTGCCCCTTCCGAAATTACTTCCACGCTTGAATGAGCCGCCGCCGCCACCGCGACCGCCTCCATATCTGTTTCTGTTCCAGCCTCCACCTCCACCACAGCGATCAGCCATGGTCTGGAGTTGAGGATTCACCACCTAAAAAATTAAAAATTCATTAAAATCTAGTAATATTTCAGTACTGCTTTAATAAATATCAATGAGATTGGATATAATGTGACAACATCTGAGGATGGGATCCAGACAACATTGTGTGGACACCGAAGGCATGTAGCTGTATTAATCTACCTCATACTTGCATTCATGTTATGCTATATAGAAGCATACCCATGCCAAAGGTATGAGGATATTATAAAAATATAAATGTCAGTACAAACCTGATTGGCTTCTTGAAGTACAGACACAAGGTCTTTGGCTTGACGAGAGTTAGATGGGGTGAAAAAGGCATAGGAAGTGCCTTTTGATTTTGAACGTCCTGTTCTACCAATTCGGTGAATGTAATCCTCTGATGAGTTTGGATAATCAAAGTTAATAACGTATTTAATTCCATCAACATCTGAAAGAAAAAATGACATCAAAATATTGTACAACCTATTTTGTGAGAAAGCTAGAACAGTTTTTAATAACAAAACAAAGAATTCGATAAGTATAGCAAGTTAACCTTTAAAAATCTGTGTAATGTTATGGTAACTCATAGCCGTGTATTACTTACATGAATGAGTTACACATATGTACCAAATACAATTCAATATTTGCCTCTCACTCAGAACCCTGGAGTCTTATTTAGGGCGTTGATGTTAAGTATTATCTCAGTTTGTAAAATCATAATGACACTGCCCCATCCAAAACTCCATTTGGCCGAAATAGAAAACCCTTGACCTTCTGACCAATACATTTCAACTGCGGTCAAGTTTTTAACAATGCACATCGGAGATTCTTAACATCTCGGTAATCTGATTGTTATACACAAGTGCATCACCAGGTTTTCCACACTCTCAAGTGTATCCGTCCGTTGATAGACGAACATACCATCAAGCTTTCCGGCCTCGGGTCCAATCACAGTGAAAGGCACCTATGAGGCACCATTATAATGACGAGTTATTGCATTCTCTAGGCATTAAACTGCATCAGACTAAAACGTCATCTACAAATCCCGTACAGTAGTGACTTGCCCATTAAATTCAGGCAGTAATCAGATAGAACACAATAACTTTCCGCCAGTGCCTCTGAAAAGTATAAACAAATCCAAGTTATAATAAATAAGACATAAACAGGTTCAAAAAATAAGCAGTCATAATTTGATTGAATAATTTGCTACAAACCCAGTATAAAATATTAAACTACAATATTTACCAAGTCCTCTGGCTGCAACATCTGTTGCAACAAGTATACTGGCACGTCCTTGTTTAAATTGATATAATGTTTCATCTCTCTCTTGTTGGGTTTTGTCCCCATGCATGCATACTGCAGGCCATCCATATCGTCTGATATTCCTAGTGATATTTTCTACTTTCCTCTTAGTTTCTACAAAAATAATTGTTTTGGCACCAGGCTCTTGGCTCTGTCCAATTTCTTGTAATAAAACATTTAATCTGGAAAGAAATATTGTCATTAGAAGCATACTTCACTAAATTGTAGTAATAGCTTAATATTTTTTGGTCAGATCTTCTTAGAGGAGTGAATTTTATTTTAATCAAATTAGTCATTCTTAAATCAATTCATCACAGTGAAGTATATAGGTGAAAATTTAATTACAGGTTAACACTTACTTATTTTCCTTTTCATGTTCTTGGCAAACATCTACAATTTGCAAGATGTTGTGATTGGCTGATAATTGAAGGGAACCAATGTTAATTTGCAGGTAATCTCCCAAGTAATCCTCAGCCAACTTCCGTACTTCCTTTGGCCATGTTGCAGACCACATCAAAGTTTGTCTATCAGGGCGAATCTGCTCAATAATTTTTCTAATTTGGGGTTCAAAACCCATGTCTAACATTCGGTCAGCTTCATCCAAGACCAAATATGTGCATCTTTGTAGATTGGTGGTACCCTTTTCTAAGAAATCAATCAACCTGCCAGGTGTGGCAATTACTATCTCAACTCCGCGTTCCAAGTCACGGCCTTGTTCCCTTTTGGGTGCACCACCAAATACACAAGTGTTACGTACATAGGCAGAGTTCCCAAAGTCTGAAGCAACTTGTTGGATCTGTTGTGCCAATTCCCTTGTTGGTGCAAGTACCAAAGCAATGGGGCCATCTCCACGCCTAATAGGGGGTTGATTATTGATATGCACAATAGCAGGTAGAATGTAAGCAAGAGTTTTACCTGACCCAGTCTGTGCAATACCAACCAAATTCTTGCCAGACATGGCAATAGGCCACCCTTGAGCTTGAATAGGAGTAGGATCTTTGTAACCCATGTTGCTTATGCTTTGATTGACATAATCAGGGAAGTTTGCTTCTTCAAAATTCTGAATAGGGTTAGGGACTTCAACTCCACTAACAGTAATCTCATGTTTGCTTCTATACTCTTCAACTTCATAAGGTGATCGGCTTAGAACTGTTGGGTGTGGGTTGTAGAAATCTTTGTTGAATGGTTGAAGAGACATGGAATCCCAATTTGGACGGCGCATGTTTTGACCGCCGGTAAAATCTTTTTTACCGCCACCGCCTCCAAAACCGCCACCAGATCCGCCGAATCTACCACCACTTCCTCCATTACCACCGAACTTTGATCCGCCGTTACCAAATCGGGAGCCATTGCTGCTTCCAAACTTCCTTTCTCCACTGAATTTGGAACCACCGCTACCACCACGGCTATTGTTCCAATTATTAGACCTGCCGAACAAAATAAGTAATACTTGTAGGTGACATAATTTACAGAAAGGTAAAAAATCAATGAGGTAAAAATATTATTGGAGACAGATATAGATTAGTTAAAGATACCACGTTACATAGTAATCGTGTCAAAAACGTGATAAAGGCATAAGTCGTGCATCAACACGTGTTTGCAACCGGTTTTGTGAACTTTATCGCTCTTATCGAATTAATTAAGTACCTACAGACTATTGGAATGAATCATAATTGCCCGAGAATTTCTCAACGTGGTTTAATTTATTATGTGGGTAAGTTATTGATCGCAGAAATTCTGCTTCTGCGTGATAGATAAATGGTTAGGCCACGCATGCGTGCTACGGGCGCACCCACCATGGATCAATGAATTTATAGAACAAAATGGCGATGGCTCTATGTATCGATTAAGCAGATTAAGTTCCCATTTTTATTAATGTAGGTATAATTAGTTGTAACAGCATAACGATAATTTTTTTAAACAATACCTACTGTTATTTATGATGTTTGAATCAATAAAAAATACTTATGGACGGCTATAACGACAAATAACACGGTGAGAGATTAAACGGTAGAGTTCAATGATAAAAATTACCATGAATGCCGAAATAAATGCCGTATCTGCAAAATAATAGAATACAAAGACTACTTACATTTTAGGGGATGTGATTTATTCCAGGATGTTAAAAGAAATTCAAGATTATTCTATGTAGCAGGGTCGATCTGTAAGTAAAATGGACGATGTTTAGCTAAAGGTTTGAAAAATCACAACACACTTCACAATATCAACTAAAGCTTTGAAAAACATAGATATAAAAACCACTGCAATAGTCACTTTATTTTTAATGAAATAAGAGGACACAACTTCAAATTTTTAAGAAAAAATTTACAAAAATTAAGCAAGTAATTTGAACACGTCCCACCTGGACCACTGCTGACGCCGAAAGGAGAGTGAATGTTAAAGAAATCGCACATTCCAAGTGCCAACTAATCGTTCTCACGAATGAATGAACTAACTAGACAAGAATTTACCGTTCAGTACCTCATTCATAATAGTGGTAAGTAATGAAGACTTACTAAAATCGATTCCTTTAGTCGATTTATCAAAAAGGGAATGGCCAAAAAAAGTTTATTGTTCTCAACTTGATACGCAAATACACATAATACTTGATACGTAAACATATGCTAAGATGGTTTGATTGAATAGAATAGGAAATTTAGTCGGGTCTTTTCGGCAAGTATATACCGCAAAGCCTGAAAACAAATGTCAACGAATCAACGAATGTGTCCTTCCTACCCGAGTAAAGAGTGAAAAATTCGAATGATACGGAGGCTACGGAGCCGATACGTGGACATTGACAGTGAGCTAGTCCACCAATTTAAGGTGATAAGAATGATTATGAGAATGCAATAATATTAGAAAAATCAACGTGTATACAACTATTATCATTAGGCAGTAGTAGCATTAGGCAGGCAGCAAGAGAGCTATTGAGCACACCAAGTTTCCTCGAGGCTAATTTGGCCTTATCCTCCAGATAACCGCGGAACTGGACAAATGCTGACACCAAGTATTCCAGTACAGGCTGAGACAGTTACCCCTAACTGTATTGGTGCTTTGAAACTGAGGAGAGACGACCTACAGCAGTTTGTTAGCGATAAACACCTATGTATTATAATAGTGTTATTGACTTACTCACTTATACATATTATATATTACACAAATATATTATAATAGTGATATTACGGTACTTAAGTAACTACTGAATTTATATGTATAAAAATCTGGTTTTTATATATGTTATCTTAAAATTAACAAACAACAATTTTAATGCCGTTTATTGCTCAAGTGAATAAACGAATAGAATGGCACGGAACCCTTCCTGTACGAGTCCGACTCGCACTTGGCCGGATTTTTTGTCAGTGTTTCTAGTTACTTCATTCATTCTTAGTTTTAGTCACTTTCAATAAGTCATTCCCTCGTGTAATCTTTGTTCACTCATTCATTCACAGTCATTCATACTCAGTCTCACTCTGACTCATTTCTCTTCTCTCATTCATTCATTCAATCATTCATTCGTTAATTTGAGGAAGTTTTGTGTGTGCGGTGATGTTCGTAGTTCTATTTTATTTTTAAGTGAAAATATAAGTAAATCTTTGACTTTTTCTTTTCTAAAGTGTACATTAATATTGAATAATGGCGATGCAACCACATAGCAAGAAAAGGGTGTGCTATTACTACGACAGTAAGTATTATAAACTTTGTTACCCGCCACTGCGATTGCTTGATACACGCATACTAATTTTAAGTAATTAATCACTGAAAACATAAATCATTTTGGGTGAAAATCGAATTATATATTATGTTTTCACTACTATATTGAATAATATCAGAATTAAAGGTAATACAATCGTCTTGACGAATTTATGTTCTTGTGTGATGAATCATTTTGAGGCGTCTGTACTGCGTTCTTTGCTGTGATTGGCTACAATACTTTCGTTCGCATCTTGATATGTGTGGTACAGACGATTATGTGTCAAGCCACAAAATGTACTGAGAAACATGTTCGTATGAAGTTAAATTTGGTATTTCATGATTTGTTTATTTTCTTTTTAGGTGACATTGGAAACTATTATTATGGACAGGGTCATCCCATGAAACCTCACCGTATACGCATGACACACAATTTACTTCTTAACTATGGATTATATAGAAAAATGGAAATTTATGTAAGTTTTAATTTTCAGCAAATTTTAAAGAATATACTTATATGCTGTGGAGAGTTCCTACAATATCATCTATTATCTACAAAATCTTTATTTTACGACACATATTATGTATTTGACTAAATTAATTTATAATCAAAAAATGTAATAAGTACCTATACACAAAAAAATGTTATTTTATTTATTGTAATAATGGCATCTGTGAGGCCTGCAAGCATTAATTTTTCTCGAGTTGCTGCTACAATATTACATAATTAGAGCAAATTTGAATTGTGGTATTTTCAACACAGAGACCACACAAAGCTACTGCTGACGAGATGACAAAATTCCACTCTGATGACTATATTCGCTTCTTGCGATCAATACGACCTGACAACATGTCCGAGTACAACAAACAGATGCAGAGATGTAAGTATAATCTATCTATATTAAAGTTCTACAGTATAGTACTATGCAGATTAATTCCTCAATTATAACAAATTGGCTTAATATATTCACAAAAGGAAGCATAAAATACCACATCTCCAGTAATCATGTGGTATTTTTTGGTTCTGCTTTGATTCATTAAAATTTGTGGTTTTATTTTTTTTGACCATGTGGTAGGTATCTTAACCCATAAATCCCCAAGCGGTCACCGGTGACCGCTTTCCACTAATATTACATTACATTATAGACCTTATTTCTAATGTTTAGAGAATACTTTTGTATGACCAAATTTAGGGGATGCATATCAACGGGTTAATCATAATCATTTATTTATTTGTAACATAGGTGGTATTACATGAATGTTCATAAGTTAAAAACAGGTTTAATTACACTATGTTTCGCCTTACTTGGCATACAAGTTATTGAAAGTTATGACTAAACTCATATTATTATAGCTTCTGCCAGTGACTTCATAATATATATAAATTGGTGATTCTTAGAATTCTTTCTTAATTATCCTGTACATTCCCCAAGGAACATTTCTAAGTTTCAGCTTCCTTGGTTCAATAGTTACGGCTGTGTGTTGTCTATTAGTCAATTATTCAGTAATGTATGAGTTTTATTTATATAGATTGATAGTGATTCGTCATAGCCCTGATTAATCATGGTTTTTATTTACAGTCAATGTGGGTGAGGACTGTCCAGTGTTTGATGGTCTTTATGAGTTCTGCCAGTTGTCAGCCGGTGGCTCTGTGGCTGCCGCTGTCAAGCTAAACAAACAGGTAACAACAAAGCACTATTATTATTGTAATAACTATGTATTTAATGTGTCAATATGTTTTAATTTGTCTTTAAATATTTGTAACTTTTCTTAACAATGTAACTCTTTCATCAGGCCTCCGAGATCTGCATCAATTGGGGTGGAGGTCTCCATCATGCTAAGAAATCAGAAGCCTCTGGTTTCTGTTATGTCAATGATATTGTGTTGGGTATCTTGGAATTGCTCAAATACCACCAGAGAGTACTTTACATTGATATTGATGTCCACCATGGAGATGGCGTGGAGGAAGCTTTCTACACGACAGACAGAGTCATGACTGTATCATTCCACAAATATGGAGAATACTTCCCTGGCACTGGTTAGTATATTGTACTACTGATTCCTAGCATAATTTACGTTTTAAAGTTGTCTTTAATTTAGCTCATATTAATTTTAATACTTTGCTTAATTTTAATTAATCTTTTGACATATTTCATGAAGCATTAATCAAATGATTTGTCCAGGTGACCTCCGGGATATTGGTGCTGGAAAGGGCAAATACTATGCAGTTAACATCCCCCTGCGTGATGGTATGGATGATGAGTCTTATGAATCCATCTTCGTACCCATCATCTCAAAGGTCATGGAGACGTTCCAACCAAGTGCAGTGGTATTGCAGTGTGGTGCAGACTCCTTAACAGGTTTGTAACTTCTTAGTTGAATGTTCCTGAACAGAAATAGTCTAGAAATAATAAGATATGTAGTATGACATTGTTTGTTCTTGTTTGTAACAGGTGACAGGCTTGGTTGTTTCAATTTGACCGTACGTGGCCATGGTCGCTGCGTAGAACTCGTAAAGAGATTTGGTCTGCCATTCTTACTTGTTGGAGGAGGAGGGTAAGCTATTCAAAATATAGTTACTTGACTGTTTCTATATTCTTATTGATTGATAATTTGCCTAACATTGCTTTCCTTTTTTCAGATACACAATTCGTAATGTGTCTCGTTGCTGGACTTACGAGACCTCAGTAGCTCTTGGTGTAGAAATAGCCAATGAGCTTCCCTACAATGACTACTTTGAATACTTCGGCCCCGACTTCAAACTTCACATATCACCTAGTAACATGTCCAATCAGAACACACCTGAGTATTTGGAAAAAATTAAAAATAGGCTGTTTGAGAATCTGCGAATGTTACCGCATGCTCCTGGTGTTCAGGTATGTAATGGATGATAATATGATTAATATTATTTTGCGCACAATAAAGTCTTTACAGTTTAAATTTACTGGGATAGAGGCCTTATTACGACTTTGTTTTACGTCTAAATTGAAATAAATCGAAACAAGACCGCGAACGGCGCGTTCTGCTGATTGGTTGGTTCATTGCAGCCAGCTAGTCAGAGTACTGAACGCGTACTTGTTTCGATTACTTTAAACGCAAAACAAACTCGTACTAAGCCCAGCCTTACACAACTTAATTAATATTGATATTTTGTTAATATTATTTACTATATTCCATTCATCATTACAGGTGCAAGCCATCCCAGAAGACGCAGTTAATGATGAATCCGAGGATGAAGATAAAGTTGACAAAGATGAGAGATTGCCACAAAGCGAAAAGGTGAGGATTAGTGAGGACAAGTACTTTCGAGAAATCTAGATAAAATAGTCTATAAGACAGTGAATGTGCGGGCTCGGAGGGATCAGGCTGTGGATCAGTCCTCGACGAGCTAGGTCCTTTGTGGAGAGCAAGTGGACTGTATAATGAAACTGGAGAAACTCTTGTACACTGATATACATTAATTATGATAATGTTAACAACAGTAGTGGAGATGGAATTGACAATATTACGAATTACGATCGACTTTATATATAATAACTACACACACTGTTCTGACGCTCTGATGAATTGACAATCATTGACAGTGAATATGTCAAAGTATAATCTTGTAAAGGAAAAACGAGATAGAAACTCCATTGTTACTCTGTTTTCTAGATATTAAAATATTAATTGTTCACAGGATAAGCGCATCACTGGTGATGGGGAATTGTCTGACTCGGAAGATGAAGGAGAAGGCGGTCGTCGCGATAACAGGTCGTACAGGACACCACAACCGCGCAAGCGCCCACGTTTGGACAAAGACGGATCGACAATCAAAGATGAAATCAAAAGTGAGTTCTATTTTACATTATCTTAATACAAAAAGTAATAAATTCGGTAAAATTCTTATTCAGCTTTCATGAGTACTTCGTAAACTTGTAACTAAAGTGTCAATATGATCATTTTAGCTGAAGACTCAAAGGACGACGTTAAGAACATCAGCAGTGTTGAAGAGCCAAAGAAAGAATTGCCGCCTAATCCCTGATGTACGCGATAACCACCCGTCGCAGTTCAGTTCATTGTCTCCCAGTAGATAATGATACGTGCGATGAGTCTACAATGGTGTTTATATAAGCGCAATATCAGTTTTATAATGCTCGATGTAGTGCTCCCTAAATATTGATATATTTGGTACACACAGGATTGTAAGAAAATGTCTGCAGATCTCAAGTTTTGTAATGGTTAGTTCCTCCATTGTTGCACTGGTTTTGTCAACACAAGTGGTCCATGTTTTTTCCATTACCCTCAAATTAAGTAGCAAAGACATTTTGTTGAAGTTATAAGACATAAACCCTAACATGGAACACTTGAATAAAGTACATTCTGGTATGTTGATTGTATTATCAGATAGCGGACGTGTGATTTTGTTTTATACAAATAGTAACTCCATCTAGCATTAAGAATTGTTTGTAATTGATAATAATAATGTAGTTGTAATCAATATTTTAAATGTTTGAGATTGTCAATTTGGTTTTGAGACATAAATTATTTTCTTATGAATTCATTAGTTAGTTCTGACACTGAACAGTTTTGGAGATACCATTGTTATAAATGTAATAGATCTGCCTATCGGTGGAATTAGTAATTTTACACGATTCTCCGTGTAAGTAGTACACACTGCCTATACATTGTATTAAAAATCTTATTTCTAATACAATGTAAATAAACAACTTTTCACATCATAAATATTTGCCTAAAATGTCAACCACCGAATGCTTTCAATTCAAAATAATTATGTAGGAGTTATCATCTCGCTAGATGTAAATTATTTTTATAAAAGTGACATTTCAGAATAAATTATTAAAATAGCAGTAAAATACAATTTTCTCTCTTGTAGTATTTCTTCCAGGCGAAGCATTTTTCGGTATTAAAATAACGATTAAAGTATATAGGTGAGTTCAATGTAATGAACTATAACAACGCGGCAGTTTTGTAGGGGCTGTATCAGTTGATTGACTTAACCTCAGGACACCCCTACGAAGCGGTTGCATTCCAAATATTAGGATTGTTAGACTAGTTATCTTCGAATGTGTTATTGTTTCCGCACTTGCAGTAGTTATTAAAATATATAAACCATGTTAGAAAAATTCTGTACATACGATTAAGCAATACGTTTTCTGCAGTTAAAATGACTATCAACTACTTAATTTCATGTTTCGATTCTGGGAGTTGAACATTTAAATAGTCGCTATTTATTACATTCAAATCACAAACATTTTGTACAACCGATAAGTATTTATGTATTTAAACATTTCGATTTGTGTAGTAGGTTATAACATGTCTGAGGGTGATGACGAATATTTTTAATTATTCGTAATAAATAGAATAAGACTGTAAATATATTTTTTATTGTTCAATATATCAATGTCTCTAATCTATGGTTTTATTCCTATTCTTTCAAATCTATAGCGATTTTATTTTAACGGACTTCTTAAGATGGAGGTGTTTACTGTTTAGTATCGTTCCAGTGTAGTATCAAGTATGACAAATCCCGCTACACCTATTCGCTGTCGATGATGAGGTACCAAGATCAAGCCTGGATACGGAAAGTATATAACATAACATCACGCCTTTTATCCCCGAAGGGGTAGGCAGAGGTGTACACAGAAGTAACACCCACTTTTCACTATTTAGTTACGAGAATTTATGTTACGAGTCCCATGTAATAGGGGGTGAGCTTATTGCCATATACCGGGCACATTTCTAGACTCCGTGCTACTACTGAGGTTTTTTTAAAAAAAACGTAGTACTTTGCCCGAACCGGGAATCGAACCCTAGACCCTTTGCCCGATAGTCGCACTTGCGACCACTCTGCCATCGAGGCAGCCGAAAGAATATTTATTTTCAATATCGAAATTCACAGGTGTATTTCATCAATAATTGATTATTACTAAGGACTAACAAAACTCGTACGGTGAGCATCATATAGTGCACACCTTCCGAGAAGTAACAGGACTAATTTGTGTTGACTAACTCACAATTATTTTCCTTATATCCGCCTATTTATTAGACCATCGGCATCCGTGAATAGATGACATTTTTGTTGTTCTTATTACTTTCATTTTTCTTATTATTTTAAAAAGAAATTAATGTAAAATTACAGAAAAGCCAGGATAGTCGGAAAATGGCACCTTAGCGATGTCAGGATGGCAGCTACCGCTAATTATGAAATAAAACACAGACTTTGTATATTGTATGTAATTTTAAACGATTATCACAACGCTCTAGACATAAATTGCACCATAAAATAAAAGTACCGTAAAATCAGTCTGGTACCAAAGAGCTAGATAAAACCAACTAAATTGGAATGAATATAAAAATACTATGAAATAATTTAGCAATATACATCTACCTCGATCAGTAATTTTACATACAGGAAACTCCAGTACGAGACAGCCTTTATGAATTCAAGAGATATAAATGAATGTAATCGTTTACAAATATTTACTCTAATGAACACTTAACTGTATGGGGCGAGTTATCTACTTTCACCAAATTATCGCAAAATTGAACCTTACATACATCTCTGCAAGTGCACTAATCTAAAAATTCACTTTCACGTTTTGAACTTCATTTTAAAAATCACACTTGTTCAATATTTTCAAATACTTCATGTCTACTTTAAAATTTACAAAGGAATGTATAAACTGGAAGATATCTGTCATGGTAAATTATATTTAAAAACGAATTATTCTCACAATTCATAATATAATCGGACGTAAATAAATTGTGCGTAATTAATAATATAGGCCTTTTAAAATATGACTAGTTAAGACCAATTAGTTTTCGAACAAAGTTCCTAACTTACCAATGCTGAACGAATTCACAAAGATTATTATATTTACATTATTTCATTGCTAAAATTGTGATAGTTTACGCCTAGTGTTGGCCATTTATTTTACTGCATACTTGACAAACCATGGTCCTTTTTTAATATTATTTTCCTAAACGGATTTTGGTGTTGATTTCAGTACAAATTGATCAACATGTGTCCAACTGAGTCAATCAAGTATGTAGTAGCATCTATTTGTTTCAAGGTCATACTGGTAAGTAATAACGACTTATCTTTATCCGGACTAACAAACATAATTAAAATATTAATAATTATGGCATGGCTGTGAGGTGGTATTACGCGACCATTAGTTTTTCACTTGTCATAATCATCAAGCAGTGAGGAAATCGAGAATGACCTGCGTTTTGGAACAGTATTATCATAAATTCAATAATATTTTACAATAGGGTGTAGACATTTACCCTACATACGCTAAACGCGTAGACATCTACCGAAATCTGAAGACTTGTGCGTTAGGAGGTAACCATGATTAAAAGCATTACGCAGCTAAAGAGCCCACCTTAACTCCATCTCTGTGTCACATACTCTTAAAATCTACCAGATTACTTCATTTGATCAACGTCTAAAACATCGTGTCTTATCAATACTGACATTAGAACTCGTTAAAACATTTTTACAAACATGGTAGAAATATTGTCTGTCAAGAAACCACGGCAAGCTCAATGGCAAAGCAAAAACGTCTTTGAAATTAAATAAATATGAATCTCATGAGATTATATTACAAATATTATCGTATAGATAGAAGAAATAATATTTAATTACATCAAATAATATATATCCCACTTAAAATAATATATCCGTTTAGTGGGATAGGTTACGAATATTTCTATAAATTATAAGCGATTAAAATATATTAATGACTACACGAATCAGTAACATAATACTAACTGAATCACAGTAAATAGAAGATGATTACAATATATTTTAATTTTAATCCTAGCATAAGTTACTTGGAATTATTATGACCATGTATCATCAATTCATAATGTCCTTAATGTTAGAAGTTAAAAATGTATCTTTCCGCACAATAACTAAAATGGCGTTCAGTTTTACTCAAATACAATATTAGAATCCTAATCAGTAACTACTTTACTGTCTAAAACGTTAACATTCTAACTGGCACAATTGTGAGCATCCGAGAATAAAATCCGTTTTTGTGTAATTTCTGGACATTGAACCCTGCTCAACTATCACGTACTGTCTCCGTCACGCTGACTGCACCCGAGCTTGGCTTAGGTCTCAGTACCCTCTGTCAACAAAACAAATCACCGTCAAACAATGTATTTATTCCACAAATGATCAAGTAAGTAAATAATGTTGTGTTGAATATTTTACCTGGAGTTAAAGGATGATCTCGTAACATTGAACCTGAAAAATTAATACAAAATATGTGAGACAAAACATAATGGAAAATTCTTTAGTAGTCGTAGTCAGGAAAATTAAAGCAAAAATTAGACTAGCTATGATTATATGTACATTATTTTTTATACTACAAAAAGCACATAGAATTCATTTTGCTGCGACTAATAAAATTGTTACATACATTTGCTAGCAAGTAGCAGCATAATAATTATAATTATTGTATTTGCTATACGCATTTGATTAAACTGAGTAATAATTAAGTTAATATTTACCTATTCTATGTACTACACATACTATGTTTTAACAATATTATAATTGTGATTTTTCTACAGAAAAGAAATATAGAATACCTTTTTTAAAAAATGCATTAATATTAAAAACAATAACTCCATTCACGAAACACAATGAAACTGTCCATGTTCTAATTGTGCCTACCTACTTAGGTATAGAGTAGACGGTGTTATAAAGCATGCAAATTAAAATTCTGTTATTAGCATTTGTGCAAAGTGAAAATCATGCAATGACCATGCATATTAAGACTCGTTATACTATTCCTAAAGATAACAATATCTGATTATGTGTATCTGAATAATTACAGAGTAAAAAAGTATGAAATGCTACCTTGTGCGTCTTCTATAACGCTTTGGAACATAGACGGACAGAAAGAAAGTCAAATCTATAAAATTGAGTAAATGATGACAATAAATGACAGGGTAATTCAGTCAACGCACAAACAACAAAGCGCTTATTAATTCATTTTCCTGTTACATAATGTTTTTGTTTGTGTACTACAATTAATTCACTATCGTTTTAATTTAACATGAATCCGCAATTTACCGCATAGTATTCTCACAAAACTGACTAAGAAAACAACAATGTTCAAAAGTGAATAAAAATGCAACGTCATATGGGGAAGCATAGGTTTCGAGTGTTGGTGTTTTCAATCCCAAAGCATGCCGTTAAAACAGTAGCACACATAAAGCAGCGTCAAGCGTTTACCTATACAGCGAGACGGCACAGGGCACATAGATCGTTCAGTATAGAATAGCGTCTGAAAGTTGGTTACTGGTTAATGCGGCGCCCGGCGTGATGCCCACGATGCTGCCGCCCACGCACGCCTCCACGCCTTCTGTAGACCACCACCAGAACGTCAAATACTAACCACACAGCTGCTCGGTCATATTCGCTGTGTGCAAGCTTAGTAACTATATTGATTTGAGACTGAATTAATGAACGGTTTCTAATTTTGATGATCACTGACTGAGATAATTATTGATGTCCCGTAATGAAGTGAAGATCAATAAGAAAGTAATATTTTTTACAAATCGATATTCCTTTTTGATTCAAAACTAACGATTCTGTGCTCGTGCCATCACCAAGTCCCAATCGTTATTGAAAAAGACCTAGGACCTATAGTAAGTCACGAAAGGAACCCAATAAAGTTGTACCAAAAGACCAGAAACAAAAATATTTGTTGAGAAATACAGTAGTTATTTTTTGAAATCTTTAAGTATTATGATGTTAATAAACACACATTACGGATAAAACAATATATAATCAAATTACCGTAATTAAATACAACATGAACAATAAAATAAAACTAATTAACAAAAACATGCAACTTTTAAAAAAATACCGTAAAAGAAATTGAAGTTCATATTGTTGTGTTAAAAACTATTTTATAACTTCTTTTTTCGGCTGTAAAATAAAGATAACAGTTTTACATAATAATTTCCGTGCATGCGCATTATTGTAGGAAAAGCAATGTAGGTGATTTTTATCGAATTCAGAGAATACGATCGATACGTGGTATGAACTTACAGTCTTGCACGTTGATGGTAACTGTCCCTTACAAATTAAAAAATAATTGTAGAATCAATAATAAGACGTTGAAATGAACTCTTGGTTCTAGATAGAGGAGTAAGTAGACCGATGCACTTAAAAGTCGAAATGCCAAATGGAAAAAAAATATGATTAGGAGCAAAAATGGCTGCTCAATCAAAATGGCGGATTAACGATCATGCAATAAAGTGAAAGAATGGTCATGCGATATCTCACCGGTAGTACAAGCGGCGTTATTGTCAGGGTTGACTCCCGCCACGGACCAGGGCCGCGCCTTGCCGGGTGTACGCGCGCACCCGTTCCCTAGTCACACGCACTCGTTACACACGCACACTGCGTACTCATACTTGCCGTACTTTTACGTGCAAAATATTCAAATACAAGAAAACCATAGCATTAGATTCATAATTTAGTAACATAAACAACTTCTCTATAAGAATACCTCTTTTCAGATGAGGTTTGCCATAATATTAATACAATATTAATTATAAGAATGTTTGGTAGGCGATTTGGGGACAAATTAGGCCACTGAAAATTTAATAGTATGCTATCCTGGAATGCTGGAACATATCCGAGTCCACTTGCAATTTTTATTTGAATATTTTGCACATAAAACCTTTACTTTGAAATACATAGTGTAAATGGCCATCGTCCCGTTATAGGATATGACTGTTCCTGTGAAGCGTACTCTCACACCGCGTACAATTTGCACATAAGCTGTGTTAGCACATCCAGAAGGCGGTGAAAAGGACAACCACTTTACGCAAATACTATCAGATTGAGTCACATTTGCAACACTCGTTCTTAGTCATGAGAATATAAGGTCTATTTTTGTAAAACTCAATCAGGTAGCATTTTAAACAAGCTTTAGCTTTTAACTAATACATTGTATTGTATATCAGTGTTTCAAGAACCCATTGGAAGACTTGAGTTGTTGTGAATATTATCCTCGTGGATTTGTGAAGAGAAGTTAATATAAGTAGCCCCTTTGCATGTTTGTTAGGGTACTTACCCATGGTGTTAACGTTGTCTGAAGATCGGGATGGAGGGGGCGTAGAAGCCGAGGTCTTCATGCCTACATTGTCGGAAGACTTACAACGTGATACTTCTGTGAATCGAAAATTAAAATGTATGTATATTAATGTATAGTTACAGATTAAAAGACAATATTGTTCACCATCTACTTTTAAACATTTCATTGTCAATACAGCTCTATTTATTTATGATCTGAACAAAAACATAGATAGGTATACTACCAGCAAAAAATCTAGATTAACATCAACTTATAGTAGATAATAGGTTTGATATGGTTAGGTTAGGCTGTAAATAGAGATAACATAGAAAGTGAGATCCGTTTTCTACGCCGTAGATCGGTTTACTAGGAGCCGACCTAGGTGTCCTAGAATAATACGAAGTGCAGTACTCATATAGTAAGTTTACTATACAAAGACAATAGAAACCAAATAATAAGACAAAAATAAACTTTTACGTGTATTTACTAAATAACTTAATACTGCAATACTTACCACATTCTAATAGAACCGGTGTGCTTTCACCCGATGTCACACTGTACCTGTGAACATTTACACAAATACTATAATCGGAAGCTACGCATAAATAAATATAATAGCTACGTAAAAGATAAATATGATAGTAAAACGACCGCTATGTGAGGAAATATAGTCAGACAGGATTATCATTTGTTTATTGTTTAGTAATCTATGTTAATGGCCTCTTTCTCCACTTCCTAAATAAACCCCAGTCGACTTATCAAGTCGATAATTTCACACGTAATTGTTTTGCTTTTAATTTTATCTTTAAAATATTGCGTACGTGAGTATTGTGTGCTTAATAATTATTTTGACCGATTTTCACTATTTTAGTACAACTAAGTTATTCTGTAACTGTCAATTCGAACTTTCAAAATGAGCTAGATCGCTTTCTCACCCGTCATTGGTCGAGATAATTTTTACAACCAATGACACGATCGAGTTCACTTCCATGTTTCGAATTGAAAATTACAGAATAGCCCAGCAGTAACTACTTAAAAAATAAAATCACTTTTTTAACAAACACTCAATCTCTATCAAATGCAACTTTTTGTTAAGTTCTAAAGAGCATCAGTTGTTGACATTATATGGAATGGATTGCGTAGGCGTTGTCCGCTCAATACCGATGTCATTACGACCTCAAATAAAAAGGTCTGGTAACTTGAAGAGAGATAGTACTGATAACCGATTGAGGACTTATATAGTCAATATAAGTAACAGATTTTTGAAGGTCGGAGTACAAATGGTGTCGGGTCGTGTCTTACTGCTGATTTCAATAAACTTTCTTAATCCAAATTCTGTGGATTATAATCGATTCTTGATAGAAACTGCATGCCTACAACTAATGTCAAAAATCGAACCATATTCACACATTTTGGATAAAGATACTAGCTTGTTGAAATTGGCAGTTAGAGGTATCTATAAGTAGGTAACGTACATGGTATCATCGCGCTGCAGCGTGGGCGAGTGCCGCAGCGGCGAGGGCGAGGCGAGCGACGACAGCGAGTGCAGCGAGCGCGACGTCAGCGGGGTGCGCGCCGACAGGGACGCTTCCTCGCTGCCCGGCGGCGTGCGACATGTACGCCAGAACTCCTCCAAACCTGCACAAAGGTAATTAATCAAATGGGATGGCTATAGTTTTGTAGTTTTATTGCTCCTAAAAGAGTAATGAAAAATAAGTATATCTTTATTTACCCCTGAGGCTAACTAGGTACAGGACTGGGTTTTGGGCACTTCATTAAAAACCAATAAATCATGTTGGGCCGAATTTGATGGAACAGTAAATAAAGTATATCATAAGTTCATGACCTACCTATATTAATTTGTTATTGTTATTTTCAAATGTTTTTGTTTTTAAATAATATTTTATCTTATCTTTCATTTTAGTTTTATCAGAAAATTTAAAATGGCCAAACGTACTCGATTTCTACAGTACGTCTGTTCGTCAAAATCATTTACAGTCATTACTAAAATCACACACCAAGGTCCTTCTGGTCGGTCTACTCTATCAGTACTTATGAGAATTACCTAATTGATGTGAAGTTTTTTCCGGGAATAAACCTCAAAGAGCACTCATTCATTATCATTGGCCACTTTAGCCATCAGAGTATCAGTATACCTAACAGATGATTGTTACAGCACATTCAGCAACCATTTAGCCGGTCAGAGCCGGTCCATTCACACCGTAGCATGCTTCCCTCACGTTAATATTATTTAGGAGTATTAATAACTTACCTTCATCAATATCTTGTGATTGATCTGTAATGGGTCGTGTCGGTGCCCTAGTCTTGGCTCGTCTAGGTCGACCTGCGAGTAATCAAACAATAGAAGATAAACATACACCTGACCAGTATTATAACATACATAATGTCACGTACGGGCTAAATCTATGATAATGCTTTATTTACGTTGTGAATATGTGTCTATTTTAATATTGAGGCGGTAAGTTCTAGTAAAAAATTATCAGTAGTAACTACTTATGTAGTTATTTATAAATTCAAAATGATGTGGTACACGGTAAAAAGCCTCATAACAACTTAAGATACGAGTATTAACATAACAACATCACGCCTTTTTATCCCCGAAGGGGAAGCCAGAGGTGCACATTACGGCACTTCATGCCACTGTATAAAGTAACACCCACTTTTCACTATTTATTTTATGAGTCCCATGTATAATAGGGGGTGAGCCTATTGGCATATACCGGGCACAATTATAGACTCCGTGTTACTACTGATATTTTTTTAAAACCTAGTAATACTTGGTCCGACCCAGGATTCGAACCCGAGACCCCTTGATCATCAGTCGGACTTGTGACCACTCGGCCAACGAGGCAGTTTTAAGGTTTTAGGTTTAAAATAAGAGTCTTTTAGCTAATTTAACCATTGTGTACCTCGAAGAAAAAAAGGTGTTTATGGTAAACATTCCTCACCTTTGACAAGGTGTCGCAGAGTATGCGCGGGTAGCTCAGCCAATGCGTCCGCGGCCTCAGCATGCAGCGGCGGCAGTGAGAGCATCTCATTGCTGCTGCATTGCTGTTCTGCTACTGACTTTGGTCGGACGCGGCGACAACCGCGCTCGCGACGACGACAACCCAATGGCGTGGCCTGTGTAAACGAGTCGTGATTACTTTTCAATAAAAAAATCTTGGCTTCTATTCTTTCTATTCCAGTGGGATGACATAAGAGTATAATAAACGATTAATAGAAACCAACGTGACTTTTAGACTGAGTTCATATCGCGATTTATGCTTTAAAATATCATTAATATTTATGGATTTGGAGAGTAAAATAATAAGAGAAATAGATTTGAATTCACAAACCACTTAAATTTTAAACAGTAAGTACACATTTTTGCAAATAATTAATTTTATTCCTAAAACCATAATTATTATTGTAGCACCATAACAAAAAAAAAACAATTAATATGAACCTCTTTTATAACACTCGCCGGTTTTCCTGTATTTATATTCTTCTTTTTCCACGTTTTCTTAGGATGGATACGAAAACATTTGAAAAGAATAGGGATTAGGTCCAACATTGTTACAGGAGCACAATTTGTTTGCACGTAAAGTAAACACAACACTATTACTGTACGGAAACCACTCAACTAAGTGCGTCCACAATATTCTTGTATAGTTATCAATAAATTTCGTAAACATTGTTATCTTTCTCCGCATATAAAATAATGATTACTTTGTCGTAACGCGTACGGTCAAACGTCACCAATGTTGATAATTTCTAATTATGAAGAAATGTTGTTCTTACCAAATTCAAGTAATCCAATTTCTGGGTAGCGTGAAATCAATGATTGCATGTTATTCAAATAGAAGTTATGATTCATTTGCGTGTATGAAGAATGAAATTAATAAATTAGGCACATTCATTTTGAAATCAAGCAAAGGATGATGTAAAGTGTGGCCGATATTGCTGATACTTGTTCAAAACTTATTTTAAAGCTTCTTATTACTTTGTGTAGTAAGAATATATGAAACAAGTGAATAACTCATTTAAGCTTTAAGGATATTAGATAATCTTATACAAATAAAAATTTGGTCAAAATAAATAAATTTTCGTTATTATTATTATTATTTTTTTTTTATTGTTTGTGTAACACACTATGTGTCTCAGTGTTATTATATCTTTTCCTGCCACAGGCCCACAGGAAGAGATTCCAGTTGGAATATGTGGGGCCTATGTACTCTGTTTTTATATATGTGTTGTCCTCTATGTTGAATGTGTGTACATAAATAAATAAATAAATAAATCTGTTAAAATAAACTTGTGATTGCGAAAGATTAAGAATGATGGCTGCTTGAAAATTTTAATCCCATCATTTTAAGAAAAAGAAACCCAGAATGCTTATTTTTTTATGGAATAGGAGGCAATCGAGCACACGGATCATCTGATGGTAAGCAATCAGCGCCGCCCATGGACACCAAAATAACATATTTAACATATACAATATTTAATAACTCAAAAACAATATGGTTTTGTTTGATTTCACCAAAAACCTTAGAAAATAAATGACACAATTAAAAAACAATAATTTAAACACTTACCCCAGAATGTGAAATAGGCGTGAGCAGATCAGGAATGTCTCCATCCGCGCTGGGCATGGGCTCACTGTCCATGTGGTCCACGTTCTCACACGCTAGGAGGGCGAGGCTCTCCACAGCTTGACTGCACGAACCAAAATAACTTAGTAGAAACATCTTATGTACCACTATTCATTGAACTACTCAATGGGACTTAAGCATAAATTTCTATACTTTAACTGTTTTAACTACAGATTATCAGAAACTGTGGCATATCCTGTCCATGTCGTCCTATAGACTAAAATTCGATGTGCGTTGAGTCAACTTAGATTATTATTTAATTCGTAGAAGTTTTCGCCCTTGTGATTAATTCGTGGATTTGGTCATTACGATAATGTTTGCCAAAACTAATTGTAGTTAAAAAAATCTAAGAGAAAAGATCGGGAGCAAAGGAACGTAACCACTAGCGTTTGTTCTTTTTCATTTCGTGATAAACATTTTAGGATACAAGTCTTTTATTAATTGGTTTATTATGTCCTATAGATTCTATAATTAGATTCGCAATTTAGTTTCTTTTAAACGAGAGCATTTTGTTGTAAATAAAATGAATAATAAAAAGCTAGTGGCTCCGTTTCATTGCTCCCAGGTGTAGTATGAAGGGTTTGTTGTCTTTGACATTTAAACTATTGACAGAAGCCAAGGAGTCGTAAGCCACAGATTCTGTCCAGCACACCCATTATCACCAAATGGTCAAGGGATTCATGCGCTCTGTAGCTGACCATGATTCATATACTGAGGGAAAAATAGAGAGAGTAGATAATAAGAACATTTTTTGTTCAGTGACATTCAAGCCGCGATACATCAAAAGTTTTGAAAATATTACTTTCACTAACGTGGTCTCTGAAGTGGACGTTTGTCGTAATCGGTGTTTAAAGTACCAATTCTTAGGAAACAGCTTCCGTATCAAGATTATGATGTCATACTCTTTGCATAAGTGTATTAAGTAGTTTTCGATGATAACAGTAGTGTGTCAGCAATGGCACGTTGCTAACTAATATATCGATACTATGTGCAAACGTTTGATATGCGAATACTTCGCAATAATAAACTTGACACAATGACCAGGTTGCACGGTTTTTTATAATAACAAGTAGCAAGAAGATTATGGGTAAAAATAAGTTACAAATCAGAATTAGTTTATTAGCAGAATTAAATTTGTAATGAATAATTACCGAAATTAATTACTTTCATCCTAATCTTTTGATCGATCTGCTTTAATAACGTAAGCAAAAATCGATCTTAATCAGCAGATTTTGGATTAAAATTTTAATCGTTAAACTGTTTGATAGCAATTAGAGCATAATAATAAATATAGTTACAGTTACTGATACAAAAAGCAGTTCTAGAAACGGCAAGTATCGTAAGGTTTTTGTCTCTCGAGCCCTAACCACCGGTAGCTCGGGCCATGTTCCAGCTACTGTTCGGCTCCTATTTTTAAATATTATTTTATTTTATATGTTGTCAAGTAGTATTTAGAAATATTATTTGTAGGGAATTTAAAATAAATAATAATATATAGTTGAATAAAAGTTTACAAAGGACGCAGGGAATCATCGGGGATGGGGTCTACGTTCAGTAATGGACGAAGATAAATCTTTTCTACCGAAGCTCCCTTATCGATCACGCTGTAACTAAAATACTGGTACGTACTTGAGCAGGTCCTGTAGAGACGTGGTACATGGTGCCATGGCGTCCCGCACTGCTTGCAGTGTCACCAGCTCGCCACTCGGACCACTGCCACCCATCGCCGCGAACACTTCACCGCATCTCTGGATAAAAGTGTAGCAGTTAATGAATTATTTAGTTCAAATAATAATAAATGAAACTTATTTATTAAAGTTTGAGTGACAATAAATTATGAAATCTAGACATTTATTCTCTGGTCTGAGGGCTCGTTAAAGCGCGCTGGGAACGCGACGCGCCGTACGCTGATTCTAGTTAGGCGGCGAGCTACCCCGTTTGCCATCCAGATCCGTACTTATTATTGTGGATTGAGATCGTCGCGATCCCCGATTCCAGGAGTGCCTCCTGTAGTGGGTTTCCTCACGTGTCCCGCCTCTTTTTTAGCTAGCACTACTTTGCAAAAGGATAGGAAGCGGCTGTCGGGCCGCAGCGCGTGTAGCCAGCAGGTACCTGCAGGTACTGGTGCAGCAGGTGGTGCGCGGCGGCGGCGGCCCGCTCGAGCGCGGCGGGCAGCGGCGGCGGCGGCAGCGCGGTGCGCGGCCAGCGCGGCGGCCGCCTCCCCGCCGGCCCAGGCGCGCTCCAGCGCCAGCGCGCGCAGCGTGTGCGTCTGCGTCGGACTGCAGTTGTTCGCTAGCCTGTCAGATAAACTGTATTTAATACTCCAAGCTAAGCCCCCTGCCGCCTTTGCGGTTTTCCAAATTAGTATGCTATTGTAAGTGATTTACGCTTGACTTGCTTATGCAAAACACATCAACGCCAATTAATATTCCATTTTCTTAAAAGCTTTACTTCGTTCAATTTGTAAAGATAGCATTAAAAATACAACATACCGTTCGTGAAGATCCCTCCAGAGCGTGGCGACTCGCTCACTAGCGCCGCGCCCCCCGGCGGCCGCGTCACAGCCGGGGAACTCCACGCGCCGCACGCTCACTGAACGACGTAAAGCCGTCGCTATGTCCGTCAAACCTACAGTGCAGAATAAAGACATTAATTTTTAGAGATACCAATTAAAATCTAAGCCACTTTTAGACTTCAATTAACAGAGGTATTATGTGCGTAAACTAAAACAGAAATAAAGAAATAATAATTTAACTAAAACTAGTCTTAATCAGATTCCATAGAATGTCAAAAAATTAAGGTCACTTCCAACTCGCCAGTCTTCTGTTTTAATTTTCAAAAGTGGATGTTTACTGATTATGTAGGTGACAATGACCATACGAGCGAACTATCTGGTTCTATCTTACACAACCCGCTACGATAGATACCATTGCTGGTTAAACTCATAGTTAGGTTTTTAAACCTTCAAATTAATTGTAGCCATTATCATAGTTGTTAATATAACCTTCAAACTATTTCTCACCTTGCAAGCTAAAAGCATTCCTGTCTATATACAACGTCTGTAGCGTGCAGTTACACTGTAGAGCTTTAGCGAGCAATCTCGCGCCCGCATCGCCGGCGAGGTTACCGCCCACATCCAACGACCGCAGGCGACGAGCCCCGCCCAGTGCGTTCAGTAGTCCATACAAATCACCCTGTAAGTAATAATGGTTTAAAGTTCAAAATTGCTTGTTTCTATCGATAACAATAGCAGTACAAGTTATTTTGAACTTTACCACTCAACACATAATGCATTCATTCCCAGAGGAGTTCAGATGAAAATAATATTGAATGCTGATAGATTCTTAAAATACACGCGTCGTAAGACTTGTTGAATTTTAATTTATGTTTTTGAAGATTAGTGATAAGACGAATGAAAGTGAAAATAACAAGTGAATAGCCTTGAGACTGTAAATAATTACATGTGCAAAGGCTGCCTTACCTTAAGTTTACAATCACTAAGATCCAACGAAGTCAAAGCTGTATCTGGTTCTTGAAGAACATGGACTAGAGCCTGCAAACAAACAAAAATGTATAAAGCCAGTATAAGTAAAATAAGTATAATAAATTGTATTTCAGAAGGTATCTAGAGGACAACTTGATAATATGAAATAGATCAATTCATTTAAGATATTGAAAAAATATTATAATGTAATATATTGTTTAAATAATGATACCTGTATTAAAGGCGGTGCGTAAGACCGTTTCCCCGTCAGCTTACTTAGAGACAAGTGAGTGATAGAATGGTTCTTCCCGATTGCCCTCACAATACCAGACAATTCGAATTCCATACCTGAGGAAAACAAACAAATAAATACATTAACTACATTTCCATTATAATGTAGTGTTGTGTAACACAATGACTTCTAATTATGTGTAAATATTAACAGTAGACATTTTCTTCTTTTATTTAATACCTTTAAGTTATTGTTCTCTACAAATTCCACAATTGATACCATATATGAGAAATACAATAAAGTATTGAATAACTAATGTACGCTGTTGCAACTAGTGCCACATTAAAGCGCAAATACGTTTTCTCGCATTTTTTATGGAATATACCGGTAAACGAGCAGAGGGATCACCTGATGGTAAGCAATCGGCACTGCCCATGGACGACCGAAACACCAGAGGTGTTACAAATGCGTTATATCGGCCTTTTGGGTTTTAGAAATTTGAGAATTGTTGGAGATTGGGGAGTGGCGTCGTAACTGGGCATCCGGTAAACTCACTCACACGACGAAACACAACGCAAATGTTGTTACACGTCGGTGTTAAAATGAACTTTAAACTAATAGGCTAAGAGCATTGCAAGTAATAAACGTTATCATATAGACAAAATTAAACCGTAGGTATATTTTCAACTTTTCAAAAATGCATCGTAAAGTAATAGGCATAATATCGTAAATAGTCCTTTCTGTTATCTCACACACAAAAATAAAGCTTAAGTAAATTGGCATAAAAACGTAAATAGTTATCCCTACTTTATCTTACACACACAAAAATAAACCTTAAACTAATTGACACAAGTCATAATACATGCAAAACTAACAATTATAAGACTTACTGTTATCGGATAAGTCCAAGGACTGCAAACACCTGACGCCGTGTATGCAAGACTCGAGCACGTGCGCGGCTTGCGAGGAAGACAATACTCCAGACAGATTCAACTGCACGCCGGTCGCACTCTCGTTGCAAGCTAATCCGAGTAACAGACTCCTGTGAACAAAAATACATAGTATAATTCCATTTTATTGCAATGGATTTAAGGATCAATGTTCTCTGTTAAATTGGGGCATTTTTAAGTCTTTTTGGTCTTATGGCAATCCTGAAAGTTTTATATATAAACAAAGAAAAAATTCACAAACAGGAAAAGTTCCTCATGCAAGTTTAGAATTATGTGAGAGGAAATAATCTAGTCGCGGAATAACTAATTACCTCTCAGTCTGAAATTCTGTTCAGAACAAACAACGATATACATAACACTGCACTTTTTATTATACAACTTATAAACACATTTACTGATTCCTGTAAATGTTTACAAATATATATTGTGAACAATTAATAATATTTTTTCAAAAGAAACTCACAATATCGAACGTTACGTTTGTTTTAGTATCACGCAATGTTTGTTGAAATTGTTGTGATTCTACTTCTACCTCATTATTGAATGCAGAAATGCATGAAACAAATGCTTATGAAATACACGACTAGACTAATAGGAAATAGCAAAAAAAGAAGATGAAAATTTTCTAGAATAGTTTAAATGAATAGACTAAATAACGTGTAAGCGTAACTATAACAACTCAACAAAATTGGGAAAGCCCACCAGTAGATTTAGAAAATTTAAGCCTAGATATAAACTGTGCACAGCTCCTAAACACAATATAGTGAAAAAGACCTTATTCTTACAAATACTTGAAAATTACGACGCAGGTAACAAAGTAACTTATATATCAACAAATATTTCGCCGAATAGAAAACTTTAGAACAAAAGCTGCGACGTAACTTTGTACCCAATTGAACCTTAGTCTGCTTGCCAATCTGAAAACGTGGCCCTACTAGATAAAATCTAGTTTATACAAACAATAACGTACTTGAGCGCATCAGGCGGCATCTTGCAGTATGAAAAATCGAGGTCAGTAAGGGCGAGACAGGCGGTGAAGAACTGTCGGAAAGATGGCGGCGGGTCACGCGCGCGTCTCGCTGCCGACCAGGGGTTACGGGCCACCGACAGAGTCGCCAACCGGGCTGCGCAACCACGTAACAATGCACCCCACATCTGCGAATTAAGAAAATCATTTAGATGATCATTTATATGTATGTCACACATAGTTCGAGAAAAAAATATTTAGTATGGTTCAGAAACCATCACCACCACCTTATAATAATATACTTGTTTTTAAGTTAATCCTAATTTCTTGTGTAATCCCAAATCCCCAATACTCAAATCCCTAAACCCCAAAAGGCCGGCAATGCACTCGTTACTCCTCTGGTGTTTCTGGTGTCCATGGGTGGTGCCGATTGCATCCCATCAGGTAATACGTATGCTCGTTGGACGGCTTATCCCATAAAAATGTGTATAAAACTAAAACGTACTAACTAATACTAATGATAAAATCATTATATCAAAATATTGACATGGCAATGCCCTTGGCTTGGCAATGTTTTTGAGGAGTTATATTACAAGCTATAGCATTATGAACATATTAATGGAAAAGGATTCCTGGTAAGGAATCTTAGGTATACATTTATAAATTACTTAAATGGAATACCCACCACAATAATATTGTTTTACTGACATAAAGAAAAGATATGAATGAATAATAAGCTAAAACTAGGAAGGCATAATAAATAAAACAAGCACAGGATTCCTCCATGCACTGAACGGCACAACTTACTTTATTACTTACGTTTTCTAACGTAGTCTCTGTGTTAGTCAAGTTCAAATACGTCAATACATTCGGTTGTGCCAAGAAGTTGTATAAATTCTGAAACAATTTCATATTCAAAGTTTTAGTCAAAATAGTAGGGGAGCCCATGAAGGGATTTCGGTAGTTACTCGAGCGCGTCAGATTAACATATGGGGAAAACCTAGTGTCATGTTGAATATACCCAACATATATCCGATCTGATCAGAAGGGGACTGAAAATTAAAAAAAAAGTCTGACTAAATAAAGTCAGTTTCGTCAGATTAAGGGAAGGTAGGTCAATACCGTGCTAAAGGAAGTGCGTTTAAAAAATCTGCCCATTCCAACTTGATTTGCAAGAGTGGGGGGATTTTGAAGGGTTCTCGTTTGTACTCTCCAGAACATTCAACCCCACCATGCAAACTGGCAGATTAAGAGTTTTTTATTATTAAATACACATGGAGCATGTACACTATCAATATCTGACACGCTCGACCACTAGAACAAAAGTTACGCTTAACAATTTCAAAGATCTGTAGATTCCCCCTTCCCCCACTGGTGGAAGAAATTGTCACTAAAACATTTCTTCTTTCTATCAGCATATCTTCAAAATCCAGTAGGTCCCAAGGACGCTCAAGTAAATCCCAATTTAGCATCGTGGGCTCCCCTACTAAAAGTACATAATGTCTTTAATTCTTGAAGCGCAGTGCAGCGCATGGTTGCGCATATTTGAGCATCATTTCAATTTAATGCCCAATTTGACCAGTAAAGAGTCTCATGTGCCTCTTGCCATATTTTTTGAATCGAATAATCCTCATAGTTCCGGTTCTATACATATAAATTATGATTCATGTGAGGCATGTAAAACTACATACATAGATGGAATAGATATATAGGGCCTGTTAACAGAGCAAGTAGGCCTACTTTTAATCTTATTTTTCCTGCCCAATGCTCAACATAGAAACAATTTTAAACTAAGAATGGTAATTGAAATCGATACACTCATATTCAGAGGTTGAACATGCGCGATAGTTGTTATCGCAATATTTTCAAAGCTTTTTCTTTATTTTACTTCGTTGTAAGAAACTTACATGTACGTCATCTTTGAGGTTATTGTAGGAGAGGTCGAGGTGTGACAGTGTGGACAGGTGGCATGGATTGTCATTGAGCATGGTCGCTAAATGCATCACAGTTTTGCCGGTGAGGCCGCATTGTGACAACGCAATGTGTCTTAGCCCGTCCGGATTGTTCGCGAGCCCGCCGAGTATACTAATAGCACCTAAAACATAAACAATGGCATAACAACATTATTGCATCACATCTTTTATTTTTCGAAGCTGTAGGTAAGAAGAGACAAGTTGAGTACAATACAACGAACAATTATTTCTATTATATTATGAGTCCGATTTAATAAATGGGAGCGTAACTATCATATACTGGCAGTTTCAGATTATCCTAAATTTATAAAAAACTCAATAATGTTTTGCCAGAAATGTGAAATTAAGCCCAAGGTCCCCCTTGTTCGGTGGTCTTGCTTCTGAGCGCTTGACGAACAATGGCAGTATGATGGTGTGTCGACATAAATATTCAATGAACAAAACTAAAAGTGAATCACACTTGATGAAAGTGATACATGCATACAACATTTTGAATTGTTACATACTACTGTTATGGGTACTTAACTACGTATTGTCGAAGGTATAAAAGGATACGTATGAGTTTGAGCGCTAACATGGTTCTATGAAATTTTGTTTTAGAATGTCCTTAAAATTTTGTTTGAAAATCCAAACTAGGCCTTATATGAGCTAACAAATAGCGTTTAAATAATATTACCATATAAGCAATTTCCAGTTTCATAATACATAATTGTGTACTCAAACATTTGTACCTATAATATAATGCACACTAAAACCGCATAACTAAATTCAGACATTTTGACGAGCGATTTCCAAATAATTAACCAAACTGTGTAGTATAATGACCTAATCGATGGTTACAATCATATACTCACATAGGTAAATGAGTTAGTCGGGTAAATATGGACACAATCAAAGCATGAAAAAAGTAGGCACTTTCAGAGTATCAACCACGATTTATTTTTAATTTTAAATCAGAATGTCTGGTTCAATCTTAATTTTTGACAGAACCTCTATGGAAAACTAAAAACACAAATCGATCTTAAACCAAAGACTCAGATATCACTTTTAAATGACAACATATAATATGTTATGTAAACTAAGTAGTCTTAATAAGTGAACAAGACTAACCTTTATCTTCAATATGGTTTTGAGAGAAATCGATGGTATGCATTGCTGGAGGGTGTCTGGCTCTGGTCAACGCGTGTCCCAATCTTGCGGCGTGATCATGTCTAAGGGCTGCAGCCCGCCATGACAGGCGCGCTGGAGGTGGTCTGGCAGACCTTACCACGCGACATACACTCTCCCAAGCCTCACCACTCGCCCGTACTCCATCTCCACAAACCCCGTTGAACCATGTATTATGTTGTAACGCCATTACTAAAGGTATTAGGTCCCTGAAAACAAAATTAGTTTTAAGTATAACTAATTTAAGTAAACTATTGTAAGATATACCAACTTAATTCGGCAACAATACGTGAATGAATGAATGAATGAATGAATGAATGAATGTATGAATGAATGTCATTTATTTCTCAGTACATGGTGCACACAGATCTTAAAATTAACAAAGTTCCACACATACTACCAATACCGGTGCAGAAATATAAAATCGTGTTCAAGAAAATTGCTAGACCGTTGCGTAATGTCATTGCATCGGTCGTCCTGCATGCTGCTCGTATTTATGAGCCCTTGTCGTGGCTTGAAAGTAGTCGAGCAACCTCTTTGAATAGCTACGAGAGTATATTGTATTGCCCAATTAAAAATGTTCAGTATTGACTTTGTTTTTAAGGTTCTAAATATGATACATACCTTTGATCTAAATGATCGAAATCTTTTAGGTGTAACATTCTAATGTCATGTGCCAGATATATTGTATCAATATCCCATGCTACTTCAGCTCTGAAACAAAAGCAATACATATATTATGACATTGTATACAAAACCCGTCAGAAACACATTAGAACAGAAATTATTTCAGCTAAAACTATTAAGCAAACAGTTTTCTTTATAGCCTGCAGTTATACTTGAGACGATGGCGTCACCGACCACCTTTTGTGAAGATTTATACAGACTATTATGTATGTGTCTTACTATCCTGTCCAGGACTCGGAACCGACTAGAGACAAAACTTCTTTAAGTTTAGTGTCCATTATTATTTTAGAACAATATCACATACCATTTCCAGAATATGGTCATAACACTGCAAAATCTGAGCGTCAATACAAATGAAATAAACTCAAGTGCATTATCTAGGATACTTAGACCTTACAATACAATTGAACTCGATTGAAACGACCTCTATGTATGCAGAATGCATTCTTCCTCCTTCATTTATATTATATCCGGTTCCAATCCGTCCTATTCGTGGCCTACATTTGTTGTGGTGGTTCAGAGTACAAAAAGCAAGTTGAGGTCGAAACAAAATCGCGAAACCGACGAAATGTTGGTTTTTGTTAATTTTCTTATGAAGCACAGTGATAATGATCTTGACCTAGGTTATGTAGTTAAAATTCGTATTGTTTAGATTTATATAAAAGTCAGAAAAGATATAAAAGGAAAATATCATAAAGAATAGAAGAGGCATAATCTTTTGTTAGGTAGGTATACCGGACAAAATTAGAACCGAAAACAACACCACTAAAATATATGGGTCTGGATGAAATGGGAAAATACACAGGAAAAAATTCCATACTAATTGATTAAAATACAATGTGACAATCGTGTTCACATGGTAACAAATATACCTCACAATGCGGTACCGAAACTATTCAATAATTCTATTTTTAAACAGTTCTATCTTGGCTTACCATTTACAGGAAAATCTAATTTTCCATACTTTTTATCCTTATTGTAGTTACGTCCTGTAAAAAAACCATGCTACCATGCATATTAATGAGTTACCTGAAGGGCGTTTGGCAGAGATCACACATAGCTGCGTACTGATTGGAGAAATCACCGCAAGTTGAATGTTTTCGAGTTCCGCTCACTTGCGGTACTGGATACGGTAGATTTACCTGTGAAGAAGACATAGTGTAAACAGAAATGGTACTTATTATGTAAGGTTTTTATTGCACGATTCGAGCCGCAGGAGCCAACAACTCCCGAAGATGTTTGTATAGCATCTCTACTGCATGAGCATTAATTTATCTACGGTCGGTGCTGCATACTGCAAATTCATTCTTTCGGCTGAATAAAAACTAAATATTTTCCGTTGTTAGTGTAGATAAGTCTGACATTCGTTAGTTTCGTGACTCCCTATCATAGTAAGACAGGATTATAATTATTAAGAATATAAGTCTAATATACAAGATCTCGTAGTCGACGGGCTATGGGTTTTTTATTATTCTTTATGATAATGATCTGATTGAAATCGAAACTTCAAGACTATTTCATAATACATAACTGATGAGAGCAACATATTTCGGCAGAAGAACATCACTTAAGAAAATTTTACTATTACTAAATTTAATATGAAACAAAAACAGTCAGTCATAACTAAACAACGCCATCATTAATTTTAGTTAGTAGCCTAATCAACGATAACTTACTGACCCCTTATCCGGGCACAAACACAAGATAAAATATATAATAATGATACGGAAAAAAGGATTATTATTACAAGCTATTGACTGCCTCATTGGCCGAGTGATCGCAAATACGACTGCCGGGCAAGGGGTCTCGGGTTCGAATCCCGGGTCGGGCAAAGTATTACTGTTTTTTTTTAAAGATCTCAGTAGTAGCAGGGATTCTGGATTTGTGCCCGGTATATGTCAATAGGCTCACCCTCTATTACATGGGACTCGTAACATAAATAGTGAAAAGTGGGTGTTACATTGTACAGTGGCATTAACAGCCGTAATGTGCACTTCTGCCTACCCCTTCGGGGATAAAAGGCGTGATGTTATGTTATTATAAGCTATGCAACAGACACACGTTTCCTTATTATGTTTTCACTTGGCAAGCGAACTGATGAATCATACAGGACGATTACTTTTATCCTTATAATATAGATATTAATGCCGCCACAATTAGATAAATTAATGTTGATTGTCGCGCTAATTCGAATGGATGGTAAGAGCAAATTTTGTTTAATAGGTAGGTGACGCGTCTTGAACGAAAACTGCTACCTATTGTGTTTATTCATAACATACACGTTTAGTAGCTATATCAAAATCAAACATTATTTAGGACTCCACCTCAGGAATCGACCCCTTTTTGCTTATGTATGCGACAGTAGATTAAAAATACGGTTTACCTACTATAGTAGACGTTGTTTTATTATTTCAGGCAGACACCCCAAAAGTGGTTATTCATTGCGATTAAAAGTACCCTTAACCGACGAGCATGCATGAAAAGATTAATGACTGTTGATGAAGCGAAAGAGGTATGTAGGAATCGTAGCAATTGGCGTTCCATAGTCTCTGCCTTATAGTCTCGACCTTTCAAAGCAAAAACAGCATTACCACACATCAAAGTAAAAGTAGCCACCGTAAAGGAGAATCTCACCTCAGTGACAATATGTTCTCTTAAAAACTTAAACACCCAACAAAAATATAACGCAATACATGAAATATTAACAACAGGACATAAAACACATATTGAGGACGTATCTAAAAATAACAAAAATATATCAGAAACCACAAGAAAATTACTAGAAAAAAGATCAGAACTAATTAAACTAACAAATAAAACAAAAAATATCAGAGCCGAAATAGGAGAACTGAGTAAACAAATAAAACTACAAATACGTAAAGATAGAGAACACAATAGACTTGAAACCTTCGAAAAGTTCATCAAGAATACAGGGGGAATCAAAAAGGCCGTTAAAGTTTTGTCAGATAAAACCAACTGGATAGCTAATGTGAAAAACCGACATGGTGAGACTACAACCAAGAGGGTTGATATCCTATCAATAGCTACAAACTTCTATAAAGACCTGTATTCCAGCAAGAACTTTATGGATAATACTGAACTAAACAACCACGAAGAAGTCCCACTCATACTAGAAGAAGAAGTACATAAGGCAATCAAAACACAAAAAACCGACAAAGCTCCCGGCCCCGACCAGATCGACAATGAATTACTTTTGGTTGGCAGAAATTACATTACACCATTGCTAACATATATTTTCAATGAAATTCTGAACACTGAATCAATTCCGTCACAGTGGACCTCTTCAACCGTCATTCTGCTCCACAAAAAGGGGGACAAGGCTGAAATAAATAACTACAGGCCCATTAGTCTAATGTCCAACGTTTATAAAGTCTTCGCCAAAATAATATTAGCCAGAATAACAAGAACTCTAGACGAGAACCAGCCAAGAGAACAGGCGGGCTTCAGGGCAGGTTATTCAACCTTAGACCATATACATACAGTGAGACAAGTAATTGAGAAGAGTAGAGAGTTTAATGTGCCGCTGTACTGTTGTTTTATCGACTATAACAAGGCATTCGACACAATTGAGCACGAGAATATCTGGTACTGTCTTAAAAACCAAGGGGTCGAACAAAAGTATATAAGAATAATTAAAAACGTATATACCAACAGTACAGCTAAAATCAAGTTGGAAAAGGAAGGGAAGGAAATAAAAATAAACAGGGGGGTGAGACAAGGAGACCCATTGTCACCTAAATTATTCACAGCCGTTTTAGAAGGTATATTCCGGCAGTTAAGTTGGAATAACTATGGTCTAAATATAAACGGAGAAAGACTGTCACACTTGCGATTTGCTGATGACATTGTATTATTCGCAGAAACAAGGGAACAGCTACAAGTTATGATTCTGGACTTGGAAAGAGAAAGCCGCAAGGTAGGCCTAACGATGAACACTTCCAAAACAAAAGCTCTAACGAATGCGGCTGAAGAGTCAATCATCATTAACGGCGTACCAATCGAGTATGTCAAAGAATATACTTACTTAGGCCAAAAAATTTCAATGAGTGATATAATGTCAAAAGAAATTGATACAAGAGTTGGAAACGCATGGAGATGTTACTGGCGACTAAAAGAGATAATGAAGAACAAAGAAATCAAGATGTCTGTCAAATCAAAACTTTACAATACCTGCGTACTACCTGTCCTAACCTATGGCTGCCAAACCTGGGCTCTCACTAAAGCGCTAACCAAAAAACTGGAAACTTGCCAGACAGCGATGGAGAGAAGCATGCTAAATTTGAGGAAATCGGACAGAGTACGTAACAAAACCATCAGAAACCGCACTAAAATACAAAATGTCACAACTAGAGTACGGAAACTTAAATGGCAATGGACGGGGCATATGATTAGAGGCATCGCAAAGTGGAACCGAAACATAGTGTATTGGTATCCTAGAGACAAGAAAAGAAAACGTGGCCGACAGATTAGAAGGTGGGAAGACGAAATAAAGGCGACAGCGGGAAAAACATGGACAAGAAAAGCTCTAAATCGAGCAGAATGGAAAAAAATGGAGGAGGCCTTTGCCAAAGCTGGGCAAACAGATGAAGATGTCAATGCCATCAATTAAGCTGAGACGTTAAATTAAGTCCAGTTTGTAAAATTGTTCTGTTGTTCTTATCTTTATCTGAATAAAGGCTTTTATTATTATTATTATTATTA